CACCACCACCACCACCACCACCACCACCATCACCACCACACCATATGCATACCACACTCCACACACACAGGAAAAAAACAAAGAAGTGGAAAAGTGGAAAAAGGTAAAATTAACAAAACAAAACCTTGTGAGTCTGAGTTACTAGATTGCTTTGGAAAACTGGCTTTGCTTTGGAGAGGCTCCACATTGCTGTCTGTGCTGTCTTCTAGAGTGGGACTAGGCACAGAGCTAGCTGTAGAGATCAGGGAGTAAAACAGGGCCTATAAAAATCTCCAATCAAGTAGCTTGGATTTAAGTAGAAGTAACTGACGGTTCTATGCATAGGAGGGATTGGAGCTAGTGGTTAAGGTAGCAGTTGAACCCTTAAGTTTGAGAAGGCTTTTGTATTAGAGAGTTTTTTCTTTTTTAAATTAAATTAATTTATTTTACATCCGACCACAGTTTCCCTTTCCTCCTCTCCTCCCATTCTTTCTTCCCACCTCTCCTCTGCCTCCCCTCTCCTTCTACTCCTCCTCTGTTTCTGTTTAGAAAGGGGCAAGGGGCAGGCCTCCCATGGTTATCAACAAAGCATAGCATATCAAGTTGCAGTAAGACTAAGCACCTCCCCTGGTATTAAGGCTGGGCAAGGCAACCCGGTATGAGGAAAAGGTTCCCCAAAGCCAGTCAAAGCATTAGGGACAGCACCTGTTCCCATTGTTAGAAGTCCCACAAGTAGACCAAAATGCATAACTGTCCCCAAAATTCAGAGTGCCTAGGTCAGTCCCATGGAGGCTCCCTGGTTGTTGGCTTAGACTCTGTGAGCCCAGGTTAGTTGTTTCTGTGGATTTTTGTGATGATTCCTCTGGCTTGGACAATTCTTTCTCTTTCTCTTCAGCAGGATTCTCCAAGCTGAGCCTAATGTTTGGCTGTGGGTCTCTGTATCTGTTTCCATTAGTTACTGGATGAAGGCTCTTTGATGACAGTTGAAGTGGCCACTAATCCCAGCCCATCCCATAGACAGGACAGACTGTAGGTCAAAGGTTGTGTGGCTGGGTTGGTGTCCTAGTCCCTCCACTGGAAGTCTTGCCTGGTCACAGGAGACAGCCAGTTCAGGCTGTGTATCCACTGTTGCTAGGGGTGTTAGCTGGGGTTAGAGAGGTATTTTTTATCAGTAGCTAAGAATTATCCACTGTAGAAGCTCATCTGGGGAGAAAAATGAAGGAATTTTTTTTTTTTTTTTTTTTTTTTTGCGGGGGTAAAGAATGACTTGGGAATAACAACATTGAAAGTGAATTTCCAGAGTTGGAGTGTAATTTCTTTGCTAATGTAAGTAAGAAGAAAATTTGATTTCAAGGTGTATAAGGAGTGCTGCTGAGTGATTGTTGTGGGAGGGATTGGTAGTGAGTCAAACCTCTGAATCATGGGATATAGGTGTGACATTTGGTTGTTGCTGGTTAATACTGCCGAGATGTCTTAATGGATGCCGTGCTGACAGACTTTTCACCTTGGTATGAAATTGACTCCACATCTTACAGTCCAGCTACGTGGATTTTCCTTTTTCTCAAATTTATCAAACCTTAGCATCCTGGGTGTGAGTTACCTCACTCAGGATGTTTTTTTCTAGTTCTGTCCATGTGCATGCAAATTTCAAGATGTCATTGTTTTTTTACTGCTGAGTAGTACTCCATTGTGTAAATGTGCCATATTTTCTTTATCCATTCTTCAGTTGAGGGGCATTTAGGTTGTTTCTAGGTTCTGGCTATGACAAATAATGCTGCTATGAATGTAGCTGAGCAAATGTTTTTGTAATATGATTGTGTATCCTTTGGGTATATGCCCAAGAGTGGTCTTGTTGGGTCTTAAGGTAGATTGATTTCCCAATTTTCCGAGAAACCGCTATATTGATTTCTAAAGAGACTTTACACCACTGCACTCCTACCAGCATTGGAAGAGTGTTCTTACTCCACATCCTCTCCAGCATAAGCTGTCATCAGTGTTTTTGATCTTAGCCATTCTGATAGGTGTAAGATGGTATCTCAGAGTCATTTTGATTTGCATTTCCCTGATGGCTAAGGATGTTGAGCATGCACTCATAAGTGGATATTAGACGTAAAGCAAAGGATAATCAGGCTACAATCCACAAATCCAGATAAACTAGGTTAAAAGGAGGACCCTAAGAGGGACACAAATGGATGGCTCCAGGAAGTGGAAAAAGTTAAGATCTCCTGGGTAAACTGGGAGAGTGGTAGAAGGGAGGGATGGGGGATGGGAACATGAGGGAATGGCATGGATGAGTTGGGGAAGGGATGGAGAGGGAGAGCAATGAAAGTGATAGTCTTGATAGAGGGAGCCATTATGGGATTAAGAAGAAACCTGGTGCTAGAGAAATTCCCAGGAATCCACAAGGGTGACCCCAGCTAAGATTTCTAGAAATAGTGGAGAGGGTGCCTGAATGGACCTTCCCCTATAATCAGATTAGTGACTACCCTAATTGTCACCATAGAACCTTCATTCAGTAACTGATGGAAGCGTATGCAGTGATCCACACCCAAACACTGGGTTGAGTTCTTGGTGTTCAATTGAAGAGAGGGAGGAGGGATCATACGAGCAAGAGGGGTCAAGATCATGACTGGGAAAACCACAAAGACAGCTGACCTGACTGACAGCTGGGGAACCTGCAAGGGGCCAAACTAGCCCCTTTGAATGTGGGTGACAGTTCAGTGGCTGGATCTGTTGTGGGGGGGATGGTTCCCTGGTAGTGGGACCAGGACTTATCCGGGGAGCATGAACTGACTTTTTGGAGCTCATTCCCTATGGTGGGATACTTTGTTCAGCCTTGATACAGGGGGAAGCAGGTCCTGCTTCAACTTTTGTGCCAGACTTTGTTTACTCTCTAAGGGAGGCCTTCCCCCCTCTGAGGAGTAGATGGGGGGGGGGGGGGGGGGGGGGGTAGGGGGAACTGGGGTTGGTATGTAAAGTGAAAAAAAAGTTAAAATAAAAAAAATCTTAGCATCCAATCCAGCCCTTTGCATGTAATAACTATTAAAAACCAAGGGATTGTGTCTTATTTTTGTGTCCTTGGTGGCTAGTTAGTTTATGGCACTAATATATCCCCAGTGGTTATTTAAATAGTAGTTAGGTGTGTGTGTGTGTGTGTGTTGTGCATGCAATAACAATTAATAAACAAAAAGGCCATGCATTTGAAGGAGAGCAGGGATGAGTATATGGGAGATTTGGAGGGGGGGAAAGGGGAAATTTTGTAATTAAATTATGATCTCATAAATTAAAAAAAGAGAAACAAAGATATGAACTGACCAAAATCAGAAAGACTCATTTTAGGAGAGTGTATGAGGGCAAAATAGGGTGGTGAAATTAAGGATCAAGTAGGTTTTTTCTCTTAATTTAATGAAAATTAAAACATACTTTTAATGTAAAATCTATCAGAATGTGTAATTTAAATTCTTTATCTTACAGAAAGTGGATTGGTGAATTTAGATGACTTTATCATGGCAGTCTCCGAGGAGCACAATTTATCCGAATATAATGGTAGGTAGAAAGTTTGATTCAAAATGACTTGGAGGTAGAGCAGTTAGGTGGAAAAGAAGGCTCAATAGAGCACTGTGATCTTGCTTCTGTGAGTTCACAGTGCAGCTGCCCAGTTATGTCCAGAAGACACTGTTTTCTGTGTCTTTTGTCTCTGGTTCTTAGACTCTTTCCATTCCTTCTCCCACAATGATCCTTGAGCCTGGGGAGGAGGGCATGTCCTATATACAATTAGGGTTGAGCCTTCTGTAGTCTCTTATTCTCCACACCTTAGCCAGTTGTTCTCTGTGTTGATTGCCACCTGCTCTAGCAGCTTCTTTAAAAACTGTGCATGTATTTGTATGCACACATAACTATGTTGGCTTGATTTTTATTAATTTATTTTTTCTCACTTTTATTAGTTCTTTGAGCATTTCATACAATGTATTAGGATCACATTTGCCCCTCCTCCCAATCCTCCCAGATTCCCCCTTTCCCTTCTCTACTTACCCAAGGTTGTGCTCACTTTTAAAAATACTCATCAAATGTAGTTGACACTGCCATATACTCTTGGATGTGCAGTCTTCCACTGGAACATGCTCAACCAACTCAAAGAAAATTGAGTCTCCCTTTCCCAGCTTCTATCAATTGCCAGTAGTCCTTTAGCTAGGAGAAGTGCAGAGAATAAGAGACTGTGGAATTCTCAGCCCTAAATAGGGCATCTTTATCATATCCCCTTTTCTCAAGGCTCAGGGATAGGGGACAGAAAGAATGCAAGAGCCAGAGGTGGTTTATGACCACAAGGAATCAGTGTTTTCTGGACACACAGAGCAGTAGCATGTATGAATGAACGGCAGTTGAGACAGCATATGGAAGATCTGTTGCGAGCTCAAGCTAGACAAAATCACAGCATGGGGGGGGACATGAAAACATGTGTATTTTGGAAGAATTTCTTTTAAGAATGATTTCATGGCCGGACATAATGGCACACACCTTTAATCACAGCACTTGGGAGGCAGAGGCAGGTGGATCTCTGTGAGCTCAAAACCAGACTGGTCTACAGAGTGAGTTCCAGGACAGTCAGAGCTCCATAGTGAGTCAGTCTCTCTCTCTCTCTCTCTCTCTCTCTCTCTCTCTCTGTCTCTCTCTCTCTCTCTCAAAAAAGAATGAAGGACTGTCCAAATGAATAAAGTATAGATTTTAAGCCATTATAAAAGAGATTTAGGATAATTATTTTAAGTAATTATATTTATATTTAAAGAAGAGTAAACTAAATTAATTTACCATGAACCAAACTACATGTTACCACAAAACACTATCTCAATTATCAATAAGGATGGAAGATTTTCTACTTGTGCTTTTGCTAAATAAAGTAAATCACCAAGGAATTTTAACTTTTTGAATTCAATAGGCCATTCTTACAAGATTTTTCTTTCTATACATTTTCAGTGGTGATACTGTCAGTCTGATGAAGTTGGCATTTCGTGGGTAGGAATCACATAGCAAAGTAGACTATTGTAGACTGATCCTGGTATTTACTGATTTTTAGCATTGAAAATTGGTGTCTGGAGGTACAGCTCAGAAGAGTGTTTCTCTAGCATGCATGTGGGCCTGGGGTTCATCCCCAGCATTGCAGAAACCATGCATGGTGATTGAGTATCAGAAGCTCAAGATTATCCTCAGCTACAAAGGGAGTTTTGATACCTGAGACTAAGTCCTCAAACAACAACAAAACCTGAATAAACGAACACTCCTTAAAGCATTCTGATTATGCAGTTACTGTGCAATAATGTCTAAAGTGATTTGTATTTTTTATTTAATGATATACCTGACATTCATCTTAATACTTGTGAGGTTTTTTTTTTGTTTTAAGTTTACCTAATTCTAACATGAACAAATTTATTTTCAGCATTGAATGATGCCATTGAAGGTGCTAGTAAAATTCAAAATGAAAATGTTGCTTATGAGGATCTAGACACCTGTCTTCAAAATTTTGGAATTTATATTCCTAAGCCAGAACTAAAGAAGATCAAAGAATTAAATGAAGTTGATGGTAAATTATAAATTTTCAAGGAAACTATTCTCCTCAGAATAATGACTTTATTGCTTTTGTTAGAAAAAGTGCTAAGTCAGTAAAGGAAAGTTCAGAAGTATAGTTACATGCTTGAAATTTGTCATCTAGAAATAGCCAGTGTTAATAGTCTTTTCAGATACTCTTCCCAGGTAAAACTGCAAAGAAAAGGAAGCCAAGTTTTGATCTTGCTGCCTGGTAAGGTGAAGGTCAGGACACAAGGCACTGAAAGGGGCCAAGGTGCCACCCTCATGCCAGAGCTCTCCACTCACAGTAAAAGCTTACCAGTTCGGGGTGCCAATGCCCATGTAACCGAGGAAGAATTTTCCTTAAGGGACAGAGAGGTGGGCTAGTCAAACAGGTGGGGTTCCACATGGACGAATAGTTGAGTTAATAATTATTGATTTCTAAGGATAGTGTATGAGAATTCATTATAATGTTTTGAGTTGCATAGATTTAAAACCTTCATAATAAAAAAGTAGAAAATATGATGTGTATAAAACTTGTGTAGAGAAAATATGACTTTATTTGGATATAAAAGATGATATGAATGGGAACATGGCTTACGTTGATAGGTTCAGAGACTGAAACAAGTTAGTTCTTCCATCCAATGCTATTTAGCTTTTGGGGGGAGCTGAGATCTGGGAATGCCGAGGGTGCTATGACCATAGATTAAGACTGTCATTTCTCTAATTTGTTTGCCTAAAGAAATTCCATCAAAATTCAGACTTTTATGAGACAATTCTAGTGTTAGTGTGAATGAATAATGTCCCAGAATAGTTAAAACACCCCAAGCCCTATACCTCTGTGTGCAGAGGTATACATGAATATTTTTATAAGATACTAATTAGTCATCTGACAGATCACCAGGCAATGACTGTGTAACTTTATGTTGCTAAGTGTGGCTGTAATCTTTTCATTACTTGCTTTTCTTGAAAAGTTATTGCAATGATAATAGTGTCTGTGAGAGTGGTACAGGCAAAGAGAAAGTGATAGAAGATGAGATAAAGAACTTCCAGACATTCACGAGCACACATGAACAAATCAGAGGTCAGATAACATACACTAAGAGTTACAATACTGTGCACTATTTGGAACAACTTTCTAGGAAGTGTTTGATTTTTGCTTCTAAATTGACTTGCCTTTTTTTCTTTCAAAGCATATATTTTAGTGATTAGTATTTTATGATGGATGTAATTGTATCTTCTTTTGTCATAGTAATTTAATCCTTGAAGATATTAAAGAAAATATTTCTCTTCCCTTTAGAAACAAAACCAGTGAATTTTAAAGAGTTTATTAATACCATGATGAGCAACAGTGAATACTTCTCTCAAAAATTATGTATGTATGAATGCTATAATTTATGTATGTATGAAAAAATCAGAAATTTTTTACTAGTCTAGTTCTTAGATAGAGCTTAAGCTTTTTATTTAAATTCCTGAAAAAAAAGTAGCAAAGGCCTGGGTGTGGTGACATACATCTTTAATTCCAACATTCGGGAGGTAGATACAAGGGAATCTTTATAAGTTCAAGGCAACTACTCTACATAGTGAGTATCAGGACAGTCAGGGCTACATAATGAGACCCTGTGTGGTAGTTTGAATGTAAATGGCCCCCATAATCTTACAGGGAATGGCACTATTAGGAGGTGTGGCTTTGTTAGAGTAGGTACGGCCTTATTGGAGGAAGTGTGTCACTGTGGGTATGAGCTTTGAGTTTTCCTATGCTCAGGATACTGCCCAGTGTCTTAGTTGACTTCCTGTGGCCTGCATATCAAGATGCAGCCAGCATCACATCTGCCTACATGCCACCATGCTCTCCACTATGATGATAATGAACTGAACCTCTGAAACTTTAAGTGAGCCATCTCAATTAAATATTTTCATTTATAAGAGTTGCCGTGGTCACATTGTCTCTTCACAGCAATGAAAATTCTAAGACACCATGTCTCAAGCAAACAAACAAGCCAAAGAAAAGATGCATTTAGTCTTAATTTTTAGCTAGAAAGATTTTGTAAACATTTTAGTTGTAATTATAGACTTATATGTACTTAAAAGTAATTATAAGTACTTATAGTAATTATAGCTATTGTATTATGGTTACTCATACATAGTATTTATCATGCACTAATACTGAATATTTTTCATTTCCCCGTGGATTCCCATTTTAATGCTATAATCTTTTTAGAAGAGAAAACCAAGATACAGAGTTCTCCTTATTTTATGTTTGCTTAGTGCCACACATCTGGTCCACACTAGCGTTATGCTAGAGCTCAGATAAAGCTGTGTGTTTTCAAAATTCACATTATACCATCCCATGGTGCTCCCCATTCAAACTTCGTATCCACTAGTATAGACCTGCGGGTAAGAGTCATTCTTAATCGGTTTTTCCACTTTGGCCTCAGTGCCACACTGCCCCTTCCATCTCATCCATCACAGTGTTTTGTTTGTTTGTTATTGGGGCTTTTGTCCTGCCCGGTTCTCTCAGTCATTAGGTCCCAAAGAAATCACACAGAAGTCTACATTAGTTATAAAGTGATTGACTCATTAGCTCAAGCGTCTTATTAACTCTTATAACATATATTAGCCCATTATTCTTACCTATGTTAGCCATGTGCCTCGGTACCTTATTTAGCGAGGCAGTCACATCTTATTTTTTTCTGTGGCCAGGTAAGGACTGCCCAAGCAGCTTTCCTCTTCCCAGAATTCATCTGTTCTCATTGACCCACCTCTACTTTCTCCCTGGTTGTCCTGCCTATACTTTCTGCCTGGCTACTGGTCAGTCAGCATTTATTTAAAATATAATTGACAGAATATAGACCATTGTCCCACACCACTTCCCCCTTTAAAAAAAAAAAACACAAATGGCCCAGATGTCTGAGTTCTACATCTAGAGCAGATTCAAGACTGCTGCCTGAGATGATCAAGCCTCACAGGATACTCCAGTCAGGACTTAATCATAATTCTAAATTTTCTTTAGGTCCCCATAAGATTATCAGTGCCCCCAACCAGCAGGAAGTAGCCTGAAAAACTACATTCACATTCCCAAAAAATGGACTATGGATATTTTCCTTTGTTTGCAATGTTGGTTATAAGTTGTTACAGCTAATGGTGAGGAAAGCTAAACAAAGGGTAATAGATTCAGAGTTCTTGTTTTTTTTTTAAAAAAAGAGGGGGAAGTACTGTGGGACAAAGGTCTGTGTCCTGTCAATTATATTTTAAATAAACGCTGATTGGACAGTAGCCAGGCAGGAAATATAGGTGGAACAACCAGGCAGGAAGTAGAGGCAGGGTGATGAGAACAGGAGAATTCTGGAGAGAAGAAAGCTTATTCAGCAGTCCTGGCTCAGCCACAGAAGAAGCAAGATGCGACTACCTTGCTGAGTAAGGTACCAAGCCACATGGCTAGCATAGACAAAAATAATGGTCTAAGTTGTAAGAGTTAATAAGAAGCCTGAGATACTAGGCCAATCAGTTTATAACTAATGTAGACTTCTGTGTGATTTCTTTGGGACTTAACGATTGCAGGAACCGTGCAGGACAGAAAACCTCAGACAACATTTGTTTGAGATGAGGTATATGATGTTTTCTGGGCTGTTCTTAAACACCCCATCCTGGGTTCGGGTGATTCTCCTGCCTTAGCTCCCTCAGTGCTGGTGGCACACAGACATGTGCCAAGGTAGTTGGCCATTCCCAGATTCTTTTTTTTTTAATTGAACACTTTATTCTAGCACAGGTGTTTCCCCTTCTACCTTTATTTATTTTTTTCTAATGTTGAGCTACATCTCCTCAGACCAAGTTTTATTTTATTTTTTTACTTGCGTGTCCATTATTTCTATGACCAGATTCCTTTGTTTTTTTCCATTTCTAATATTTTTTAATATTTATTGAACTCTACATTTTTCTCTGCTTCTCTCCCAGCCTCTCCCCCCTTCAGCCCTCCTCCAATGTCCCCCATGCTCCCAATTTACTCAGAAGATCTTGTCTTTTTCTATTTTCTCCTTCCCATGTAGATTAGATCTATGTAAGTCTCTCTTAGTGTCCTCATTGTTGTCTAAGTTCTCTGGGATTGTGGTTTGTAGGCTGGTTTTCTTTGCTTTATGTTTAAAAACCACCTATAAGTGAGTACATGTGGTAATTGTCTTTCTGTGTCTGGGTTACCTCACTCAAAATAATGTTTTCTAGCTCCATCCATTTTCCTGCAAATTTCAAGATGTTATTTTTTTCTGTTGTGTAGTACTCCATTGTTTAAATGTACCACATTTTCCTTATCTATTCTTCGGTTGAGGGGCATTTAGGTTGTTTCCAGGTTCTGGCTATGACAAACAAAGCTACTATGAACATAGTTGAGTACATGTCCTTGTGGCACGATTGAGCATCCTTTGGATATATACCCCAAAGTGGTATTACTGGGTCTTGAGGAAGGTTGTTTTCTAATTTTCTGAGAAATCATTCCCAGATTCTTTAATTGGTGTTTTAAAATTTAATATAAAAATATCTTTCCTGACTGCAATGAAAAAAAGCCTACTGCTCTGGTCTACAGGTTTTCTAATTGTTTGTTGGGCTATTTATGTATTTATTTGGGGGTAGAATTAAGTCCAAGTGTTGACATGCTAAACTACAATCTCTAGGCTCAGTTCCTTCTATAAAACGATGCATTGTTCTACACTAACTTTCTATGAAAACTTAAAGTGCATTTTGCTAAATCAATTTTCATCTTAATTTTGTTAACCTTTTAATTCTAGTACCCAAGACTGTGTTGGTTCCTAGTCCTCTCTACTCACTGCCAGTTTATCAGCATTTATTTCTTGATCTTGTTTAATGGCTGCTACTTTGGTGGTTGATTTTTAAATATCAGCATGACCCCAGACTCCGTTCTGGATCCCATCTTTGAAGGTTGTTTCAGAGTGGCGATCTTACTGCTTAAACTGTCCCTCTATCCTTTGACTCCCAGTTCATCTCCAACTCTTCCCCAGTAGCTTCTTTTTCCTGTGGGAAACTCTGCACATGCTACTATTTAATTAGCTTCTCAGGACTGGGTGCTCCTAGTCTTCAGCCTTCCATGTAATTCTTCATTGAGCATGTCTTCATTCTCCAATTACATCCTGATTTGTCATCTTCTCATATCTCCATTACTGTCACCCTTGTCACAGCCATCACCAGCATCTCTGAAGCACCACAGAACTTTCCTGCCTGATCTTCCAGAAAGCCCATTTCTTATATTGCAGTAGGGTGGTCTTCCTGTAATCAGAAAGAAGATAATTTCGCCCTCCAGTTTAAAATTACACTAATAACAAAACTTTCAATATAGGAGGAAGGAGATAGGGGAGAATTTTGGGAAATACAGGAAACAAAAACTATTTGATTCGTTGTTTTTAAAAATTGGGAACATGAGCTGTGTGGTGGTGGTGGCACACACCTTTAATCAAAGTACTCATGAGGCAGAGGCAGGTGGATCTCTGTGAGTTTGAGGTCAGTCTAGGCTACAGAATGAGTTCCAGGACAGTCAGGGCTGTACAGAGAAGCCACGTCTCAAAAAACACCCCCCAAAGGGAACATGAGGCCAGAAAGGTGACTCAGCTGTCAAGAATTCTTGCTGCTCTTGCACAGGACTGAAGGCGTAAGTCACAGACAATCCCACACCAGTTTGGAATTATGATTAATAGAATGGTTATTTATTCAAAGGGGAAAAAATTTACAGATTACCGTCCCAGACAACAGCCCCTCCGCGTGAACAGGAAAGGAGTCTAGGAGCCGGAAGCAGAGCCGGAAGCCAGAGAGAGAGTGGAGGACAGCCGCTGCTTTTTTAAAGAGAGAGAGACCACGCCCCAATGGGCTGGTATCTCAGTGGCGATTGGCTGAAGGAGCAGAAGGAGCTCCCGCAGCATCTCTCCCTTTTGTTTAAGTAAGAGAGTTCTAAGCCTACTACAAAAATATATACAATAAGTACAAACCTACGAAATTATATACAATAAATACAAATATCCTATTCTAACTAGCTTAAGTCTTGTATAACAAATAACTTGGCCAAGTCATGAAAGGAAAGTAACTACATTTATATAATCTTCAATCCCATCGAAGATCTGAGAAGGGAAATAATGTTACCTGAGTAATTAGGAAGTGCAATCAAACAACTTCCAGAACATGTAACAAATCACAGAGACAACTGGCTACCTGGGCAAACACCCAAAGACATGTTTGCAGCATTGAAGCAAACAACTTTGGCTAAGGCCTGATGTAACTGACATACCATTTTCAAAGGCAAGAAACTTTTCAAAACTATCTTACCCTTTCTTGGCAGGATATGACAGTCCTGTTTTATCCATTTACGGATATTCTGTA